GAAATGGAGGTTAGAGGAAGTAAGTGACTCAAATATGTATTATTTTGGAATTACTTTAGGAAAAAATGAAATTTTACTATAAATTGATGTATCTGTATGCATTAAAAAATCCTTCTCCTGTACAGTGCCATCCCAGTGGGTGCCTCACAGACCTATTCATCCAAATGGCCATTATAATGGTGCTCAAGCAAACCATCAGTAATGTCTTTGAGTTCGCTGGCCCGTAAGTGTAAACCGCAGTTATTATGTCCGCTGCATACTGCACCTGGTTTGTTGCACCTGTGGTTTTAAAAGCTGTCCCTTGTTTGCATCAGCTGGTTCTCCAGGTGGCTGAAGAGAAGAAACACAAAGAAGCTGCAGAGGAAGTGTGCTCACTGCTACCTGAAAGATGAATCGGAGGGTAAATACGGCGCTGAACTGTGTGAAAACTGCAAGCTTCGAGACTGGCTCAGCAACTACCGGCTGAATGACGTTGACTCCTTCAGCCTGTTCCATGAGTTCCTGGAGATGGGTATGCACACCGCTCAAATCTTGAACGATAAGAAAATAGACGAATGCTGAAATGGTTTTGGTAAATCGCATTGCTCTTCGCTCTCTCTCCTCAGTGATCCAGTTCAGCTTCACCACCATATTTGTGGCGGCGTTTCCTCTTGCTCCTCTGCTCGCCCTCATTAACAACGTCATTGAGATTCGCTTGGATGCTATCAAAATGGTCACTCTGGAGCGCAGACTTGTTCCAAAGAAAACAAACGATATTGGTGAGTGGGACTTTTTTTTTTTTTTGGCAGTAAAATGTTTGTTTGCTTGTTTACACTGTAGGTGAAGTTCTCCTCACATTAACGCTCCCTCTCCTCAGGTGTGTGGATCAACGTGCTGGAGGCCATTGGGGTATTAGCTGTCATTGCTAATGGGCTGGTCATTGGTGTTTCTTCAGACTTCATTCCTCGACTGGTGTACCACTACCGCTACGGCCCATGTGCAAACGGCACTGTGACAGATGTCGAGTAAGTATCGTTCCTCTAAAACAGATTAAGTGTTCATTCTCTCCTATCGTTTTAATGCTAGCATTCATTTATTTTCTCTTTTCAAAGCTGCATGGCTGGTTACATCAACAACTCCCTCTCCATTGCACGAATGGATGACAAAAACATACTAAATGAGTTTTCGTCTTATCAGATGGTCGCTCCCAGTGGACTGAACGTCTCTTACTGCAGGTTTGTTCAATGTGTTTACTTTTTCTCCTACAGCTGAATAATTATCATTTCACTGTCACCGTTCTGGCAATAAGTGTTGAGAAACCAAAAGAGAAACCAAAGTTTAAAGATGTAAATTAATTTGAAAACAGCACTGCTGTATGTAAGCTGTGAACAATGTATATACAGATTGACACTTTAAATACGAATCATGGTTATATAATGAACGCGTTTGAATTCATTGGTATACAACAAACACACAAGAGTAAATTATTCTTAAAGTCACCATATCCATCTAGCCATCCATCTTCTTCTGTTTATCTGGGGCTGGTTTGGCTTGTGGCAGCCGGCTTGGCAAGTTGACCGAGAAGTCCCTCTCCCCAGCAACCTTTGCCCAGCTACCCTTCAGACAAAACTCATTTCAGCAGCTTGCATTCGCAATCTCATTCTTTTGGTAACTACCCAAAGCTCATGACCATTGATGAGGGTTGGAACTCAGATTGACTTCTGACTTCTTCCAGAGAGACCCCTAGGCAAGCCAAGTTAAAGGCCTCCTTCATCGCTGGTGTCCACCATAAAGTCACTAGAGTTTTAATTCATTATGTTACTATAATTATGATTAGAATGACATTCAAATACTGGGAACAATTGAACTCTTTGTAGAACATTATGATCAACGCACACACTGACACACGCTGACACACACACATCCGCCAATCTTTTCCCTCTGCCAGTGCGCCTATAATCATTCAGTAAATCACACCATCATCCTCCTTTCCCTCTCTGTTTCATAGCGCGATTAAGGGTGCACACTTGAAAGCTCTATTTTGTTCCAAACAGAGGCGGCCCATTTCCGCATACTAAATAGGCGGATGGGGCGCGCATGGGTGATCACATGATTGATTGATTAATTAAATGTTTGTTTTGAAAGTATCGCCACCGATACATTACAGTGGTGGTACTAAAATATGCATGAGAATGGGTAATTTAGGGGTGAGTAAAACATGTTAATTTAACAGAGTACAAATTGCTCATTCATGAAATAATGTGTGTCTTTAAAATGTTAGGCAATTTATAACGCCCAGTGGGAGGGGCTTCTTGTGTTTTAAAGAGAGCTGCTTGCTGCTTTCAAGCAGTCTAGGGTGGTTACAGCAGAGTTACAGTTTGTTTGCTGAGTTATGTGGATTTTGTTTTTGGACGACTTTTGTTTTGTAAATAGTTTAAATAGTCTAAACACCATTTTTTTCCCCTGTTTTTGCATTTTTGCATTTTTGTAAATATCTATCACTGCACTTTGGGAGGCCGGCAAAAATAAAAACACTTCACTTACAGTCTGCGACTACGCCTGTTTTTTAAGTTTTTGGGTGGATTGAAAGAGGACCCCGTCACAGTGTGAGTATTGGGGAGACGATAAAACGAATGAAATAAAAAAAAACGTAAAGTTTATTCAAGAATAAATTATTAATAGCTTAAAAATGAAGAAAGAATGGGAAACAAATACAATACATTGAGAAGAACATAAACAAATCTGCTTCAATATATCAAGCAGTGTCAGCTTTAAGAAATTGATAAAAGAAGAAAAACATCTGTTTTCTGTTTCAGCTACAAAGACTACAGGAGCAACCAGGACTACAGTCTGACCCCACAATACTGGCTAATATTAGCCGTACGCTTTGCATTTGTCATCCTGTTTGAGGTAAGACTTATCCACTATGACAAAACAAGAACCACTGACAAACTTTTCTTACACTGCTTCCTTTTAGCATTTTAAACAATACACATACATCCTCAAGACTTCCCAGAACAATGTTGCTCAATTTCTAACACCTAAAACTAAGCCAGGGAGTGAGTATCTTCAATGTAGCTATATTATCGATTTAAATAAAAATAATAATTACATAATAACATTTTCCCTTTGCTTTCAGCACGTTGTTGTCATATGCAAGTTCATTGCAGCCTGGTTTGTACCGAGCGCTCCCATCCAGGTCAAGAATGACAGACTCTTTGATAGACTCAAAAGACTAAAAGAGGAGCTCAGGTGAGTCTGAAATAACATGACATTTTACTGACCATGGCTGCTAGTTATACAACCTTCATTCAAATCAAGTCCTCCAATACAGTTTCAGAAATTATCTGAATACCTGCTATGAAAAAAGTATTAAAAACAGAATGATGTCGACTCATAAGCACACAATGTGTCTGCTATAAATACTGTGACTGACTAAGCTTGTTTGGATTTCTTACAGTTCATTTGAAGCGCGACACCACTCAGACCCTTAAATGTTTCACATTTTCCAAGGAGGACATGAACCCAGTGTTGCCTTGTGCACTAAGGTTTCCGACTAACACAGTGTTGAGTCCACTTTAAAGCCATTAATCATCTCTACAGAGTTCAGATGGAGGCTCTCACTCTCTTTAGTTGTTTACAGTTGAATGTTAAGTGCTGCTACTTTGATCCTCAGCTGTAAAATGGACTTTGAAGACAGACAAGTTGTGCTGTTTCTGATTTTACTGAACATGTCTTTCATGAGATTATTCTAATTCTATTTTAAGAATGCACATTTAGCTTATATTTGGATCTCTATATTTGTGAGACGTATGTGAGTGTTTTTAATTGAAGCCAAACATAATTTATACTGCTTTTGCACTTACAGTAAAGAGTGTTTGCTGCAATGCTGCCTTATAATGTAAATAAGCGCTGTGATGAATGTCAGTACTGCATTTGCATTCTGATGGTGTCTTTAGTAAATCAGATATAAGAATGTTTTGCATTGTAATATTTTATATTATTGAATAAAAGAGGAAACTTTTGGCCCTGTTGTAATGTCACTTTTATTGATGTATGTTAAGTATTGTATTGCAAAGTAAAAAAAATTGCTGTTGTGCCATATACCGTTTTAGTTGACCATAGTAATCTTATAAAAGCTTCTATATCTATTTTATAGAATATAATTACTTTATTGATCCCAAACTGGGAAATTGTGGCATTACAGCAGCAGGTTGTCCAAACACGCAATATGAGTAAAAAAACACAATGTTAGCAAATCTAAACACAATATAATATTAACTACAAAGTAAATAAGTACTAAAAATATCAAAAATAAGACTGTGAATATATACAACCAGGATTTAACTACACATTACTAGTCTTAAATAGGAAGATTAAATATGGAAGATTAAATGTAAATGTGCAAGAACAGCGTTGTAGATGGACAGTATTTACATAAGTTAAAGTGCATGAGTGTAGACATATAATAAGCAGAAACTATTCAATATAAGGGTGATTAGACAGACAAATGAAGTGAACATGAGTGCAGGGATAAATTTTAAATTTAACATGTGCAGAACAGATTACAATATGCAGAGACAGATATTATCATGATGACAGTTCTCTCCTCGCATGAGGTGAGCTGTTGTACAGAGTTATGGCCTTCGGTAAAAAAAGATGTTATATGTTGTCCTTAGAGTTTTGACCAACACCTGAGTCATGTCCTCTTTCACAGTACATAGGAAACTGGGACATCTAGTATCTTAAGAAAGGATCCTATTCTTTCTATATTGAATTCACATTAGAAAATCATTAATTGTTTGAACGGGTCCGCATGAAGTGTGTGTGTGTGTGTGTGTGTGTGTGTGTGTGTGTGTGTGTGCGTGCGTGCGTGCGCGCGCGCGGGAGGGTTCCCAAGTGGGAACACAGGTGTATTTTATGAAGTTTCCCTACATCATCTCTTTCCAGGTTTCATCAGGACTGAAACTGCAGGTGAAAGCCGGTGAAAACCTCACGTGACCCCCAAGCAGCCAATAGCCGTCAGAGTTTCAGGTCTCTCCAGGTGCAGTTTGGTACAACAGTGGGCTGACGTCTGCGTAGTCGCCTATGCGGCTTTGCTCAATGTAACTACACCGTAACAAACTACAAAAAAGTTCGCTTATTGCTAGTTATGTAGTTTTGTCAAAAGAAAAAATAAACTCTCCACTCGGATTATTGATCACTAAGGGAGAAGGAAGAGGAAGACTGCGGCTGATGGCTGTGATTTTAACCGCGTTCATATTGGTGAGCACTGTCAGGTGGAGCGTGACTTTCCACGTAGCTGGTAAGGATGCTCAAACTACACTTTCATTTAGTCAGACATAATAGCTTCAACTTTATTGGTGTTCATTCACTCAATGTGCCTCCAATTAACTTTGTATTCGCTTGAATTCGTGTCCAACAAAAATGACTTGTGAAAGCAGGTCAATGAGCATATGGTCAGTGTGTGCAGGGTCAGAGTGTCTGTCACAGTCACATGTTGTTACCTGGCAACATGAGGACAAGACCCGGACTTCGGACCCGGATGTGTGCCCCTGCTGTGTTTGAGAGCAATACAACAATGGGAAGTCAAGGGAGGAACCAGAGAGAGTAGTTGTGCGGGTTATGCGTGGGTTTTGGTCACAGTTACGATGAGCGCATGCGCTTAATACCTTGCAGAACGGGTCCCTGTCCAAAATGGACACTCCCTTTTTCAAAAAACTGTCTTGAGGGCTATTGTAGAAGATTCAAAGTCAACAGAACACCACTCTGCCTAGAGTCTGCCTGGCTGAAATCACTAAAAACCTGTATGTCCTCGCCGTGGCAAGTTAAGATAACATTAAGAAAGGAAGTGTTGAAGTACTGCAGAGAGATTCATTGGCTTACAAATATTTTAATAATTAATATAGATGCAACAAATATGTTTGGTTACAGACCCCAGTGAAAAAAGGAAAATGTGATGCCAGAATGATAATTTCCACCTGTTGTGAATCAAATGGCAATTGAATTGAACAAAATGAGATTTTTTTTTTTTTGTCGTTTTCACACATTGTGCCACCGGAGTGCATAATTCATATGCCAGCTTTGTATTTGCCTGCATAGAGAGAATTTGCATTTAGGAATAACAGGGAGTCCTGGTTTAGGATCTATAATTAGAGTATGTAGTGAACCAAATCCTGTAAGAAAGTCACTGAGGGGATGAATGTAGGAAGCTATTTCAGACTTTTAGCTAGAAAGAACAAACCATGTCTATTGTTCTTCCAGTTCGATACATCAATCCCATTATTATCAACACACACTCCATGCAATGTTCCACTGCGTCTTCATACAAAATTGCAAATGTAAAATGGTTAAATCCAATCCACCATCAGGTTAAAACTCCCACAGGCTGACATGGTTGAAAACTACATGGCTTCATCCAAACACCTGAGGCTTCCTGCAGTTGCTGAAGTTGCTGAAGATGCTCAAGACGATTAAGGGCAAAAAATAAAATAAAAAACATGTTTAAGCTCCAACAGCGTCTTAAACTTAAAGAAGCAGAATTACATTTTGGACAGAAAACATGAGATAGTTCTTGCTCTGACATTAAGAAGACTGTGTAAACTTGCTCCATCTCCGTTTGCAGCTCAGACCTGCGTGGATGAGAGCAGGTTTGAGGAGCAGGTGGTCTATCTTGGGCAACAAGGGGCTTCTTATCAGCTGAGGTGCCCTCACGGGATTGTTCAGCCACAGAACTCGTCCCAGCTCCAGCTGAACTGGCAGAAGGACTGTCAGCAGCTCCTCGACCAGGAGGGGAAGGCTTACCTGCAGTTTACCAACCTCAGTGTGGAAGACCAGGGAAATTACACCTGTGTGCAACAGGGCAACAGCACGGCCTCATTCACAGTGCGTCTCATAATTAAAGGTAAGTGCTAAATCCATATATAAGTGATATGAATTCATTTTAAAGTCAAACTTAGCGATTATTTGTCCTCGTAGTTGATTTTACGTGGGGGTTAAAGGAGATAGTTGGCTGCACATATTTTGTTTCAGCGTTGCCTCCAGCAGCAGCAGCAGGCATGAAGGACTCTATTGTTGCAGAGCACAGGCAGTGAGCACAGATAAAAGGTATATGTCTTTCCACAGAATCCCAGTGCTCCAAAGTCCCAGAGTTTAAACCTAATGGGGGCCCGACCAGACTCTGGGGGGCCGTGGAATCCAGTGTAAAACTGAACTGCAGCGCTCTCCTCCTCTGGGACCCTGAAGAGGAACAATGTGAAACTGCGCTGCACTGGACTAAAGATGGAAAACCCTTCACCAATCACACACTTTACACACAGAACACCTCCTCGTGGTGATTTGAGCCTATTAAAACATCTGTTTCTGTTTTCACTAAGTTATCCAAAGAAGTTGACAGTACAAGTATGATCAACTTTTTGTACTCACTTTCAGGTATCCTGCTGCGGGAAAGCTGATGGTAACCAGTCTGCTGGTGGTCACACTCAGAGAGCAGGATGATTTTGGGCTCTACAGTTGCACCGTGAGGAACGTTTCCTCTGACTTCAGCCTGGAGGATTCAAGTAAGACAGCTTAGATATCTACCAACAACATACATGCTGCATCTCTCACAGTCTGTGCTGCACCTGCTGGTATATATTTGAAAAAAAAAAAGACCCTCCCAAAAAACACATGCACACAAATGCAACAAAGTAGAACAAAGAAAACTACGAGAGGCAATGCTGATTAAAAAAGTACTAGTTTTAATGACAGAAACAATCAACAACTGGTTGATTGATGTTTTCCCTTTACTTTTTAGGACTTCGGGGGCTTGGTACATAACCATTAGATACAGTGCTTTTTAATTTTTCAAAGTGTTGGCTTGAAGCATGGCTCTGCAAGTAATGGATCAGCACTAGACTGACACCAGTCTAAACGTGAATAGTTGAATCCGGCAGCCACTTACGAGGCTTTGTGTTTTGAAACTTGCCACATAATAGCAACATGTGTTTTTGTAAATGGATATGATTTGCTGTGTTTTAAATAATGAAGAATATTCATAGTGACTAATTGCTACAGTTGTCTTACCAGTCATGATGAAACCACAAATACTTGCTCCCTCAAAACAAGAAGGATGAGAATTTAAAGCTGTCCACGGGAGCTTTCACAGCACACCCTGAGGGCTTATGCAAATATATCACTGCTGTTTTGTCAGTTTCTGCTGACTATTCCTGGAGGAATTCCGTTCTTAAGATTCTTGTGGTTTTTTTTGTAATAGAGGAGCTACAACACATAGATACTTAGACAATACATACTTTATATCACTACTGTGTCTGTAATGTGCAATTACACCTTGTTGGGAGGACTGGTCTTAAGAATTTTCTAATCAAGTTGCATGAATGACTTAAGGGTAAAAGAAGTCCGATTCAATAAAACCTCCATCCAAACTCTGACGGACTGTAGCTTACTCGAGTAGTTCACTTTGCTTGGAGCCGATTGGCTGCTTAAACATCTGACACCTCAGTCAGGTGTGAGCCAAAGGTTTTTTTTTAAATGTAGACATTTAAAAAAAAAACCTTTGACTCACACCTGACTGACTGAGTTAAGCTGGGACAGAATACCACAGCAACATTTCTGTGCAAAGATAAAAGCTTTGGTCCCAAATCTTTGGTCCTGGATTCACTGCATTGATTTTTTTAGTAGGAGAGTTTCACAGCGATACTCTACATAGTCCATCCACTTCTATAGTTTCTGGTTTCAGTTTTAATAACATTTTTTGTTTCATTATGTTGTGCTTATCTTTTTTATTGTTTCCCTTGTGTATGCTCAGACAGCCCCAACCACACAGCTGCTGTCATTGCAGCCATCATTCTGCTCCTCTGCCTCGCTGTAGCTGCTGTCATGTATGTCAAATGTCACCTGAACATCAAACTCTGGTACAAGAACTCCTACGGGGACTATGAACTCAATGGTGAGACTTTCGCTGACGTGAAATTAGGTTTCTATTTCTGTGTATGAAAGTTGCAGCATCACTTTAACACCACTGGCTTGTTTGTGTCTCCATGTCCTCAGATGGCAAATTATACGATGCATATATCTCCTATGTGAACAATGATTATGACAGGAAGTTTGTCAGCTTCATTCTCAAGCCTCACCTGGAGAACAAAAACAGGTACAAGGTGCACCTCAATGACAACGAAATCCTACCTGGATCAGGTAAGCTTGGTGTCTGTTAGTTTTTTGAGGAATTAAAGAAAGATTTGAATACAATTGAACTCATTTTATGCAGATATTTTTTGTAATTAATCCTGACAGTCAAGGATTTTCTACTGTCATAGTCATCATCTGTAATTCTGGGGCCTAAAGATGGCTCTCATGGATTTGTTAATGTTTCTACAAATGTAGCATGTACAAATTAAAAGCAACAGTTATCTCTGTAACTTGATGCTGCTGATATTTGTGACCTGTATGTATCCAGCTCTTGGGGGCTGTATTTGCAAAACAGATCCCTGGCTTGCTTATTTCAATATATGCAGATTTTAGACTATGCAAAATATTTTGTGTTTCCAGAACCTTCTGCAGAGCTGCTGATGAACATAAGTCGCTCACGGCGTCTGATTGTGTTGCTTTCTCATGCTTACCTTGAGCAGGACTGGTGCATTAACAACTTCAGGTCAGATGAATTTCATGTAGTCTGTTGTAAAACCATTATTTGAATTAGGAAGATCACTGTGTCGTCATTACATTTCACCACTTGAGGTCAGTGTTGCAGCTGTATTCTGCAGGGACTACAGTATCTCCTGTCGTGACACAGTGTAGCTGTGCATGTTTTCAGACAGGGCTTCCTGCACCTGCTGGAGTTGAGTCAGCAGCCCATCCTCATCCTGTTGGAGGGTCAGTCTAAACGCATGAGGCCTGAGGTCAAGCAGCTGCTCAGTGAGCACCAGCACTGCCTCACCATCCTCACCTGGAAGCACAACTCTGTGGTAAGATTCACAGTAACCTCACTTAATTGTATCGATAAAGAACAAGCTGTCCATGAAAATTTGGAAATTTGATTAACTAGAAGGTGTGACTATAATGGCAGTTAAATTCATACGAGAGATCATCCTGATTGGTTCATAAAAGCATGTGACATCACATTTCTCCAGCTGAACTCTGCTTACTGAAAAACAAAGCATGTGAAGGAACCACAGCTGTTAAAACTCAAGCAGAGAAGTTTGTGTTCATGTTGGATCATCCTGTTGTCATAGTTACAGCCAAAAGGGCCAGGAGGATGTTATTGCTACAGCTGACGTCAGTCTTTAAAATGATAAAAACTAGATTTTTTTTAAATTGCATTCATGGTGCACTGGATAGCCTAGTGGTTATGTTGCATGCATGCACCATGTAGGGAGGCTATGACCTCATGGCAGTGGACATGGGTTTGAATCCAACCTCGGCCCTTCACTGTATATCTTCCCCCACTTTCTCCTCCCAACATCTCCTGTCTCTCATCAGCTGTCCTGTCCACTAAAAGCAGACAACAAAAAAGCATTTATAGAAGTTTTGAGTGTGGCGATTTTAATAAATCCTCTGAACATTTCAGTTAAAGTTAGTAATTTAAGTATGTTTTATATATTAGTGAGTTCTGCTTCTGCAGTTCAGTTAATTGTGGTGTAATGTGTCGTGTTTGGTCCCCCCCTTTGTTTTTGTGTCCACAGACTCCCTCCTCAGTCTTCTGGAAGGAGCTGGCCTTGGCGATGCCTCGCAGGGTCGTCTTTCACAGCGAGGCTGCAGGCGACCCTCAGACTTTGCTGCAAGATGACAGGGACCCAATGCTGACCCTGAACCCTGACTACCTGGACTGTCGCTCAGACACAGACCCTGCTGGAGATCTGGGTAAGATCAACAGAGTAGTGCTTACATAGGATAATTCTTTGAATAAAGATAACTATGGCTCAATTTTTGCACAATTGCGGGTTTCGTTCATACTTTCCGATTCAATTGAAGGAAAAAATATATTACACGTGCACTATCTTACACTAATGAAGGTGATTATTGTCTCCACACAAAAATGAGGCAAGCAGGCTCTTGTTTAACAACCATCTTATAATGACTCTGATCCAATCAAAGATTAAAAGCATGTCATCAATTTGGCCTTTTTTGTTCATTTTGACACATGGCTGTTTGGCTGTTTATGGCCTAGTTTGAATCAACAAACGTAGACCTAAGTAGGATTAATCTTTAACTTCAGTATAAGCAAACCACAGGACATGCTGACAGTGCAGTTTTTTAAGTTCAGCTTGTCTGGAATTTTTTATGTATACACATACCATGCAGATATAAGAGGTTAATACTCTTAAGGTAATGTGCAGCTCAGTGTTTTCTTACTTGCTGATGGTAAGATAGATAGAAAAGTTAAATGAGTGTTTCTGTCTAAATGTAACAAAATCAGACCACAAGAACCTTTCAAACCGAATATCATTCATGAAACTAGTTCCAAAACAGAAGTGTAAATGCCTTGCCAACAAATAGAAAAAGAACGAATAGAGAGAAAGGAAAAGAGTGTCCTGACACTTAAAAATGATAAAACAATAAACATTAAAACAGTCCAGTTTGTGAAAAGTTGCAGTTGTTTTGGCTGTGGCATAGCAGATCTTGAGGAAGGACTAAACAATGTGGTGTATGAGTGCAGCATCATTGTCTTCTCGTGTTGAATTTCCTCAGCTGCCACAGGAAGTACATCCTCTGTTGTTTCCCCCCTGGTAACAGCATTTAAGCTAAGCTAACCAGCTGGTGGCTTTAGTTCATGTTGAGACTGAAAGATACGGTAACAAAAATACATAAATTCATGTTTCAAAAAATGTCAAACTCCAACTTCAATGAGCCCAATTTTGTATTGAGGACTAGCATCTTGCCACTATTTTGTGAAAAAAATATTTTAGCCTGATGTTTGAATTTATCACAACCTGGTGCGGCAAATAGCAAATATGACTGAAACTAGAATTCAAATGAAGTTCAGCAGTAGATCAGATGATAAGTATTCTTTGATTTAGGATCTGTTTGTCTCTTCTGTGTCTTCTGTTGCAGGGCTCCGGCTACCTGTGTATAAATCTCTGGCCTGTAGAGCTCCTGTCCTCCCGCCTGCTCCTCTCAGCACTGCTGAGCCCAAACCTCCTGACATCGACGTGTCCGACCTTGGATCACGAAACTATGGAGCACGCTCAGACTTTTACTGCCTTTTCACTGAGGAGGATATTTAATCCGCACTCCCCTTACTTCTGCTGATCTCTGGAAGATGTCTTCGTCATTGTCCTCTTTAGAAATACTTCAAATGTATCTAGGACTACATGGTTACTTTTGCTTTTGTACAGTGTGTTTCAAAATCAGCGTTTTCCCTCTGAGCTTACCAAAGACTGGTCTTTAATGGTTTTTATTTTTTAAGTTTGTGTAGAATATTTAATTAAGCAGTTAGCTGTCTGCACACAGAGGATTGGTAAAGAATAATAATAATATACCTGTGGAGAGTTTCTCTGTTTGCACACCAGTAAAATAAACTGAACTCTTGTGATTGTAGAGCCCACTGCTTTCCTGTGTCTTCTTAGAACAAGATGATCAGGCTATTAAACGATCTGATAAATATCTGGCTCTTTAGCCGGCCTGTGACCCTTAAGAGCAAAGATTACCTGCTTTGAAATAAGCGTCTAAATAAGGGCGCAGTAGGGAACGTCTCCTGTTGTTCCTGTCTTAGCAGGAGCAAATATGTAAACAGGGAGTGGCAGACACTTCACCACATTCATGTCGGTCTGTTTCAGCACACACACACACACACACACACACACACAAGAAAAACTCTCAATGACAATGATATCACTTCCACATCTTGCTATTTATTTGATGGAAAACATCCAGCATCTGCTGGTTTTTAACACAACTATTAACTGTCTTTTCAAACACCCAGAAAGCTTACCATTTTTTTTCACACAGCAGAAATATTTACAGTTCAAATTATTTTTGTTTGAATACTTACAAGTGACACAAAAACAATGAAATCAATAGACTTGCCAATTTAAATCCATTTGAACAAGGCCTCAATCTGAAGAGAGATACGCCTTTTACAATTGGTCATTTATGAACACATAGACCTGAAGTACTGAACAAATATCAGGTCTATATCCTGTGTATATCACTCATCATTTATTAAAACAGAACAACAGCAGATAACAGTTTGTTAAAGATAAAGAAACATATGAAGGAGGTCTGACTGATGTCAGACAAAGACACTACAAATGTTAATCATTAGTATTTCTTTCTATAAAAAAAACAGAATTTGCATGTTTGGAAGTCAAATTACCAAATACAAAGTCAACTTTGGAGGCACGGTCATTGTCCCAACATTTATAAATCTTCTTATGATCTTCTTCTAAATGACAGTTTTAATCTCCTGCAGTTTACATTCATTTATAACTATATTATAATCTTAGCTCATTAGAAACATCTCTATCTAATATATATCTTATCAAATACAAAGTACAATGCTAGAGTAAAATACATATCATTTCTGTGTAAAAGTAGAAGCATTATTTACAAAGGTGCAGTGTTAGCACTGCAATGTTGCATTCACGACATTAGACACGCAGCAGTGAGAAGATAAGTGTGTTCATCATCAGTTTTTAAACAGCAGATACACAAACAGCTTCAGTTTGATCAGAATAAAAAGTAGCTCAGACAGATGAGAAATCCCTGATTCCACACTAAAACAAAAAGTGTTCAAAGACAATATACTTAAGGTGCACACATCAGAGTCCATCCATTGTCCGTCAAACTTAATCCACATTTCTTGAATTGCAGAAAGTCCTTTCATCGCTTCTTCTTCCATCAATTATGTTTTGTTCTCAAAGTATGGCAGATCAGATGTGAATCTACATTATCTTTGAATAGTATGAAGAGTTAATTTCATCAAATACGTCTGAAAGGATTTCTTCCATATGGGTGCTGGATGGGTGCAGATCTCCGCTGATTCAGATTGCCATGTCTACCAAATCCCCTTTCACAAACCCTTTCTGTAAAACAAAGAAACAGAAAAGTCAGTGTTATAACACTGTAAGGACACAGAAGCATGATCGTGTAAGTTCTTCTTCAAATATGATAAATACCATTCATCATGTAAGTGTCAAACCAAAGCCGCTCTACTTTGGAATTTGACCTAGAGCGACCTCAGAGCTAACAGCCCAATGCAAACGATTTCAGAGTGATGCAGATGCGTGCAGTGTTTTTATCATCTTCTATTTTGTACCAACATCTACAAAGATGGTTCCGCTGTCTCGGAATTAAATCCAAGCTGTAGGACAAGCATTAACATTGCCTTGCATTTTTTGTTCTGTCAGGACTTGTTCACTTGTTACTTGAAATAAGCTAAACACCGCACCCTTAGGGAGGGGCAAGTTTGGATTTGCAAAAAGGGACCTGGTCCTGCCCAAACCCTGGATGCACCTGAACCAAACCTGGTGTTTGTATGCGTGTTGAAAAAGCAGAATTACTGTGAACTACATCACAGATACACTGGTTGTTAACATATGCTTCCAAATGACGAGGGACCCGTAGAGGGAGAGGGACGTAATCTATCTCACACATGCCGCACACACACACACAAACAAACACTATCTCTTAGACTCACTTTCTTTACGCTCAGGCACAATCACACATGCAGATATCAGAATGAGGGTGGGGTGCAAAAAGAGAAAGCTTTTCCACTGAGCTTGTGTTTTTGAGTGCTTGTTGTTCTTGCCTGTTTGTGGCCAGGTGAATCTTGTTAAAAGAAGTTTTTCACATTTGTGTGTGAAACAAACAAATGTGCACAAATTCTGTTGTGCATGTTTCCCTCTGGTATTTTTAAATATATTTTATAAAAGAGTACAAGATGACTATAGTGAGCAAGCATGAGAACAATTAGGCTGAAAGAAAAAAAGGCTGAATCATATACAGTCAGATATACATTAAGTTTTTGTACATGTATAACAATGCCTTTATACATTTTTTACATCCGTGCTATCTGTGCCTTTAAAATGTTTCAACGACATTCAACTTAAATTATACACAAAAGAAATTAACTTTGAGCAATCCAATTTGAAAGAATCCTTTAAATACATCTCAATGGATACTATTAAGACTAAAAGACTACTCCGCTCAAACTTGACAATCAGAGAAGTTCATTCTTCCAAACTGAGATGTATTGATGTATGAGATGTGTAAACATTGATTTTTCTGCTCCTTTTTCCCCTCTCATGTCAGCTGTCTCTTACGTGTTTGTATGTGCTGTGCAGTTTCTTGTACTGGAACATGTTGCTGAGAACTGTGGCTGCTGCTTTGGCTGCTTTCATCTTCGCAGAACTGGAAACAAAAGAGTCACTCAAAATGAACAAATTGGCCAAATGCACTTTGTGTAACATTCAAAACAGGAGTGCAATTTCTTTTCTTTTTTTTAAAGTATGTTGAACGAATGCCACATTACACATCTCACCTGTTGTCATTTGAGTTTTTGATTGCGACCAGTTTAGACAGGCCATCAAAGAAGGCGATGTCTCTGGCAGCTAGAGAGCTGCCGGTCACCAGGTTATTGAGAACTCCACAGATGTTGACCACCACCTCGCTGGAGGGCTCCTTCTGGTGTCCGTCTGCAGGCAGCTTGGTCACCAGGTGCTTAACTACTGTTGTGGCTGGACAAAGCAAACAGTATTGTTAGCATAATATTTTTAAAACCCACTTTCACAATCATATCTGTTAGAAATAGATCTGGTGCTGCATGAGGACGGATTTTCCTGCAAAATTCCAATACCGTTTTATTGATTGATATTTCTGTATTTTTTAATCCAATGGCAGTCATAGTGATGTTTTCAAATGTTTATAATATCAGGCCTCTATAACACAACCCTACAATGGGTTTGAGTGTTACGTTGTTAATGATAATACCCAACATTGTTAATACTTAAAAGGAAACTTTGAGTATTTTCAAACAGGTAATAGTGAACAGTACTTCAAGTATGTGGGCCATGTATGGAGGGGAAAAGGCTTAAGTTTTGGATGTCAGGATCCTGCAAAGAAACTTTGATAAACAAACCACAGAGTGGGTCTGGGAAGGCAACAGTTCCAGCGTATTCTGGTTTGGGGTAAGTCAAAATACAGGAAATACCACATACATCCATATCTCTGTTTACTCTATTCATGTTGCACTAACAAAAAAAAAAAAAAACCTCTTTCTACAGCACAGACAGCGCAGTTTCATGAAAACTGCTTCTTCCAGCAGTGAAATAGAACTCTTGCATTTGTCATTGTAAAGAACTTTTGTTCAATACCAAAACAAACAAACAACAAAACAAACAAAACAGATAATGGTTACAGAGATTAAACGCCCCAGTCTTGATAAGTTCTCATTTGTATCACAGTTTTGAAAGATTTCAGTTTTACTTAGATCTGATTCTTATTTTATGCAAGTTAGCTTACCTTATTTGTTTTTGACCTGACTGAATCGTAGAATTTGAACAAATTTTAAATTGTGAATCCTGCAATAACAAATTACAAACACATTTTTCACCCCTTTATTTTAAGTCATTGAAGTAACAAAGAGGGGGATTCATACCATGTTTGATAAGATGCCTACTCTCCATCGTAAATATTTAAATTCTGAATAGGAAACTATGGGTTGTATTCTTGTTTTCTATTCATATCTATATGTTTCATCCATGATGGTTGTGCAGACCAATGCTGTGTTTAGCCGTTTGTGATTGGTGTTTGTGAAAAAGAAGAAAAAATCAATAAAAAGTTATTTTGAAACTATTAACAACAGGCCTACAAAATTAACAGAATACCTAGAGACATTCAGTTATTTAAAACTAGCTAGGATTAAAAAAACAAAGACTAACCCATGGCCTCCTTATTTGTGGTATGACGAGACAAGTTTCTGAGGAAGCCTGTGAGAGATCGCAGCTCCAGATCACGCTCAGTTCGCAGGCGGTCCATCACAACAGGCTGCACACGTTCCTGATCCAGAGCCACTCGGCTCAGGACTGACGCCCACTGCAGCACAAAGAGAGAGAGAGAGAGAGAGAGAGACTACGTGAAAGACTTAAAATGTTGCATTTGAATTTTTTATGTAAGATAATTGATTTTGGACTCTTACCCTCTTGTCTCCAGCAGTAATGTTCTGCAGCGCTCCAGCAGCGGCCTCGCGGGTGGTGGAGTTAATCTCACAATCACGCAGAACACGGGTGTACAGCCCCACGATCTGTGGGTGCCACAGCCACTCCACACCCTTTGGCACTCGGGCGACCTCTGTGAAAGTGGCCAGACTCTGGTTCTTTTTCTGTCAGAGGGAAGAAGACACAAGAAGGCAGCGTTGAGGCATACTGTCTAATGTGAGAACATAAAAGCTCAAAAGTAAATCTCTTATGTTCCTACATTTTTGGCCTTCCTGCTCTGAGGTGTAAAGCAGCCAATGGCATCACCCTTTCCTGAATCCTGATCTCTAGTTGGCCCTTCCAGGCGCATCATGGCAGATGGAGGCATCTCATTGTAGAGCTGGT